GGGCACAGAAGAGTACGACCTTCTCAACGGACCTTCCAATTCACCATTGGCAAGGCCTCCAGTGCAACCACTCTGAACATTTGAGGCCAATGGAGATGACCTCCCGGGACCTCAGCAGATACCCGCCAGCACTGATGGCAGGGCTGGCAGCAGCAATCATCCAGAGCATTCCAAACACAGGACATCAACCCACTGGGTGCCAACAGGAAGGGGAGCCTCCAGGTCGGACAGACCGCTCCTCATCGGTACCCCTCTCCCAGACGATGACTTTGGATGACGACCCGATCATCGTTCAATCAGGCTTCAAGACTAGACCTCTACGGGATGGAGGAGGTAAGCCCTCAGCCGGGAGACGACCTCCCCCACTCAGACCTCAGTCCAAGATCAAGCACATTGGAGACTCCATTAGCCACCTGGCCAAAGGATGTGCACAGGACGTCCAACAGTCCATCAACAGGGGTGAAAGAAAACATCCGTTCCCTAAGGAACTTCTTCAGGAGACACGACGGGCCATTGCCCAAGGGATCGGGCTGGACTACCAACTTGCTGAGGAGATGGAGCCAGGCCAGCCGTTCTATCTGAACCTCATCTCAGCCTTAGCGGAAGCTGGTGGAGATGCAGACGCAGCCTACCCCACAAGGGTTGCCAAGGGAGTCCCATTAGGTGTCACCACACCTACCTGGACGTCACCGGGTATATGGCCTACCAAGGAAGAACTCAAAGGAGAATCCCCTCTGTGGGAGGACCTCCTAGTACCCATGGGCAGGGACAACTACCCCTCGGCAAAAGATTTCTCCTCTCAGGTTCGACAGACCTTCGTGGAGGAGGTAGATATGGGTATGGTTGAGGGCCCACTCACACAGGAGGAGGCTGCACTCCGCTGTGGATGCACCCCAGATGAACTCTGCCCAGGGCCCCTGGCGGCAATTGACGAAGGAGATAAAATCCGCACAATCTACGACGGAAGCTGGGGCCATGCAAACTCACACATCCAACAAAACACAGTTGAGAAGACCACTGCACCCACAGTGATGGACTGTGTTCAAGCCATTCACTGGCTAACCACCACGAAGGAGAAGACATCTGGGACGGTAGCGTCTTGCACCGACCTGGCATGGCAACCTCCACACAAACAAACCACCTGGGCGCTTTTGAAAGCAGATGTTTCAAAAGCACACCGCCGCATCAAGGTCCAATCCAACGAATGGCGCTACCAGGTAGCACAACTTGATGGCGAATGGTGGATAAACAAGGTGGGTACCTATGGTATGGCCAGCGCCCAACTTTATTGGGGCAGAATGGCGGCACTCCTCCTCAGACTATGCTACATGATGTTTCCACACATAGACTGGGGCTTTGTGTTCGTGGACGATTTTTGTTGGCTCCTCAGGACGGACTCCGCCACTGAGGATACGGCAAAACTACTTCTCTCCTTAGCAGCCATGGGGTGCCCCCTCAGTTGGCACAAGACGGTGCTATCTGAGGTCAACACCTGGTTAGGTTTCCAGGTCAATCCATGCGGACCAGTGGTCGACTTCCCTCCAGATAAGAGGAAGACACTTGAGGCACTCCTTCAGACCATCGCTGCGGGCAACACCTTCACGGTGAAGGAGATTGAGAGAGCACTGGGACGATTAAACTGGGCAACGGCAGCTTGGCCCCTCAGTCGCCCTTTTCTTCAGCCATTTTGGGCATGGAAATCCGCGACGACTACTTCAGGGAAGCCCGGCAAGCTCATACGATCCTTTGCAAAGCTTCTCCTCCAGCTGCTCCACAACCCCCAGATCCAGCCCTGCCCTTACGACCCTGCCTCCAATTGGTGGGGTGCCAGTGATGCTAGTGCACACCCGGACGATGGGGCCTACATTGGGGGGTGGATCGCAAATTGTGAGAACCCATCAAAGGAACAGACCTGGTGGTTCCATTACAAGATACCCCTCGAAGACCATCCATGGGCTCACAAGGATGGTGATCCAACCAGACGCATTGCGACCCTCGAGATGTTTGGCACATTGATTCTTACCCACTTCCTTCTGGCTTTGGGTGGGAAATCTCTGCTTCGTACCCGTCTCAGCCTCATTTCAGACAATCAAGGCAATGTCTTTGCCCTGTTGAACCAGAAGACGAAGCATATGCCTACCTCAGCCTTCTTAATGCAGCTCATCGCCATGCTCTATGTTGCTGGGGTTCAATTGGCGCCTTCACACATGAAGCGGGACTACAACAAGTGGGCGGACGAACTCACCCACCCGAACTTCACTGGTTTTCATCCTGATCGACGACTACCAGTGAGTGAAGCTTTTTCCCATTTTAAATTTCTCTGGGCTCTTCTGGATGACCAGATGAGTGTCCCCACCTTTTCAGGAAATTCAAAACGTCGTAAGACCGATTATCACGCCACCTAAGGTCCTTCGGGAGCCAGGTGGTTGCGGCTGACTTTATGGTGTACAGTGGTGTTTTCCCACCTACAACCCTCTTTTTCCTTTCCTTACTTGCGCGA